CACACACACACAGGGTCAGACACACAGATTCACAAGACTACCTGTTCAACCCACGCACAGACACACAGGCACAAACAAACACACACACACACAAACACACACGCACACACATACACAGACAGTCCTGCATGGAAATATAAGCATATGTAGTTACATGTATACAATGGCCACTCGCAGAGAGTCGGCAGCAAGAAAAACTGTTGCCCACGCACATAAGCATCGGTTCAAAGAGGAAACGGCACGGAGAGCTCCTTCGCACCCACACTCTAGGCCACGATATCGAGTACACACATACAGAATCACGGCAAACCAAAAAAAAAGGGCAAGAAGGGAAGCGGTGAACCACGTTAAGTGCGGCGCGTTTCTAAAAACCACATTTAGATAAACAGAGAGAGAGACCGCCCTGAGCAGTGCAGGAGAGAGGGGAGGCGAAACAAGGAACCCGTAGGAAACAGAGCCTCAAACTTCGACGCAGAACAAATGTGGACCGCCAAGTGTCTTTTTGTTGTTGTTGTTGTTGTTTTCTCCCTGCCCAACGGCCGACACATCATGGCGACCGCAGTGTCCTTTTCCTTCCCTCCTCCTCCTCCTCCTCCTTCACTGTTCTTTTAGTGCGGCGGCCAACGCGAGAGTCGAAGTCGCGTTGGACGAGGAGTCGCTTAAAAAGAATAAGTGTGGAAAGCAAATCTAAAGGAGCGCAGCCGCACATCACAGTGCGCCACCCATCACACGATTCCCTTTGTCTTCATCATTCTGCCTGCTCCATATCACTTCTCCTAGAACTCTGCTTCGCACTCCTTCCTTCTTTGGCTCCACTGCTCACCGCTGCTGCTCCGCGGCGTCTCTCCCTCACCCGCCTTCCCACGACCCTTTCTCTTCTCTTCCTCTGCTCAGTTTCAGACTGTGCGTGGGTCCACTATCATGCTACCAGTCTCTCCATGTGCGCCAATGCCGTCCTAACCGTCTCTCGTATCATAGCTCCTTGTCTTTCAGTCTGACTCCTCTTTGCGGCAAACAAAACCCCTTCCATGTTTCATTTGTACATACATACTCATACGCGCATACGTACACGCACACACATGTGTCTATGCGCGTATGCCACGAGCTCATGTGCTGATAGTTTTCATCGAGCCCCTCTCTGTATGCCAATTTATCTGAGTGTATGCATGCTTATGTATGTGTGTGCGCGTGTGTGTGTGTGTGTGTGTGTGTGTGTGTGTGTGTGTGCGTATGTAACTGAGTGAATGCAAGCATGTATTTCTATTCCTACTCCAACAACCAGTCTCTTTTTNCATCGAGCCCCTCTCTGTATGCCAATTTATCTGAGTGTATGCATGCTTATGTATGTGTGTGCGCGTGTGTGTGTGTGTGTGTGTGTGTGCGTATGTAACTGAGTGAATGCAAGCATGTATTTCTATTCCTACTCCAACAACCAGTCTCTTTTTCCGTGCATATATAGATGTAGATGCATCACAATCCACCATCGTTGTAGTACTCCGTCTCTGGTGCGTTGTATGCGTAGTACGCCTTGTTGTGCATCACCAACTTCCCGTCAACGAAATAGAAACTGTCGCTGACCGTCTCATTCGGGTTCTCAATGATCGCCTTGATCCACTCTTCCGTGAGCGCGGGCATGTCGTAGATGGCCTCCCATGTGTTGGTCGAGTGCGGAATGCAGAAGCCAAATGCGAAGTCAAATGACTTGATCAGTGTGTTGCGGAAGTAATGCCGCTCAATAATGCGGAAGCTCGGCACAGGTGTCTCACCGTTGATGCCGAACACGAGTTTCGCACCGACGGTCTTTTGCCGCAGCATAGAGGGCGGAAATTTGTAGTAGATGCTGCGCAGCATCCGCTGATCATCCTCCGGCAGCTGCGCGATGGACTCGATTGACGGGTAGTCGTTGGGTTCGCGTTCGACCTCAAAGAGTTTTCGGTTTGAGACCATGTCGCGGATGGTGAATCGGTAGAACTCGATGTTGTAGGTGTTGGCAGCAATGGGGCAGAGAAAGCCGTCGGTGGGGCCGCTGAACTGTAGCACCTGCTCGGGGGTCACCTGAATCTGCGTCGACATATTCACGTCTTCTTATTGTTGCTGTTTCCTATTCTTTTACACACCCACTGATGCTAGCGTATTTTCTTCTTTTTTGTTGTTGACTTTCTATTGTGGTTTTCTGTTCCGGTTGTTTGAAGGGTTCTTGTGCTCGCCGCTCCTTGTGTTTGTTTGTTTGTTTGTTTTTGTTTGACTTTGTTTTTCTTCTGGGAAAGAAATCCTACGCTGTATTTGTTTGTGCTGCTTGGAAAGTAGACAGACAGAGGGAGGGAGGAGAAGTGGCGGCAATGCCACAATGGGGAGCCATAATAGCACACAACAACAGGTACAAGAGAGCCACCATATATATATATATATATATATACCCCTTTCTTTGTTGTGAGGGAGTCCTCCTCTTCATTACTCTACTACCCCCCGCTTCTTCCTCCGGCTGGAGTTTGCCGCTGGGTGGCGGTGACAAAGACGAGTGTGAAGGAAACGGGGCGCGGCCCACAGAGACAGACGCACATGCATACGTGATGGATGCAGCAACCGCAGTAGTGTGAAAGTTGAAGAATGAGAAGGGGGCTGCAGTGATGCCCGTCACATCGTTGTCGTTCTATCCCGTGGAGTGTATTTGTGTAGCTCGTCGCAGCCCACTGAAACCGTTCCTCTTGAAGGGGGAGCCCGCAGCACAACACACTACCAAGAAAATAACAAATAAACACAGAAGGCATACAATGATTTGTGTTTAAGGCGGTACAATATATATATATATATATAAAGAAAACTTCATGTGGTAGAAAGGAAGCGATACACGAACAATAAGGCGAAGCATACAATCAATCCTCCGTAGAGGATGTCAACCCAGCACACACGCACACAGATACATGCGATACAGATACAGGTATAGGCGCACACTGTCCAGGGCCCTAGTACACCAAGGGGTCATCCCCGCAATCCTGCGTCGCCAGCGCGTCAGTGTTTTTGTCTTCAACTACGCTGTCTTCGCCCTCGATATTCAGCACCCGCGCCTCCATCGCCATCTCCTCGCGTATCCACCGCTGAAGCTCGAGCAGTCGCCGTCGCTCCTGTAGCGTACGTCGCCCAACGATAGACCTTTCCCGCTCTAGAATTTCGGCTTCGTACTCCAGCTCCTGGCGTTGTCGCAGCAGCTCCCGCTCACGGTTCATACGCTCCGTCTCAAAACGCATCTGCTCCATCATCCATATGTAGTCCTTATACTCCAGCTGCGCATCCTCAATATCAGCGTAGTGAAGTGGCATCATCGCAGTGTCCACGTCCTCGATTGCGTCTTCTTCAATGGTGACATCACCCTCCTGGCGAGCGCGCCGTGAGTTCAGAGCCAATGATGCGGTGGCGTGCTCCTGGACGCCAGAGTGCGGCCCATCACGGCCATTGGGGATGTGCCACCGCTGATGTTGACGTTGTTGTTCTTGTTGTTGATGATGCTGTTCCTCTCTCAGCTGTGGTGGTGATGTCTGTTGCGTGGCGCTTGGCGTCCCGCTGTGGTTCAAATGCTCATCTGTATTGTTAGGGTGCTGCTTGTTGTCGTTCCACCTGCTTCCGGCCAACCGCTGCGACGGTGGCATGCGGCCCTCCTCAACCGCGACGCGCATCTCCAGCAGCGCCTTGTCGTGTAGACCGAGCGCCGCGCCGGTGCTGGCATCCTCAACTGGGACGCCGTTAAACGTCAGGCGCAGCTGCTCCCCTGGGACAAGGCAGATGCTCTCGAGGTGTCGACGCAGCTGCGCGCCCGTCAGTCTTCGCAGGCTGCCGTCGAAGACGAGATGGTACAATACGCCGGAGTCGGGGTTTCGCACGCGCAGCGTCGACCGCTTTTCTCCAATTGCAGAAGGCTGCAAAGATCTACGCACTCTCATTCGTCCCTTCTATGCACACGCACACACACACAAGTGTGTTACCTGGCTGCAGCCGCACTATTGGTGTGCTCTACCCTCTCGAAGGGTCATGCAGGGAAGGGAAAAAAAAACAACGCAACATATGATGCGCATTCCCCGCAACCCCCAGCAGCACAACCGACGGAGACACATTAACAGAGTGAAGAATGAAAGGAGGCCACTTCTATAAAGCTCCAACAGGTTTCTCTTCGAAGCTAACGATACAAAGCAATATTATAAGCAACATCTGAAAGTAAAACCCAAAAAATAGGCCTGTAAACTGTCCAATTTTAAACCACTACGCATACAATAAGTTATTTTAACTTCTTCCTCAGTCGATGGGCACAGCGCACAGTATGTGAGGCAAGGTCTCACGTAGACGAGGGTTTCTTCTTCTCGCCACGCAGAACCTTTACAAAGTACTGCGTCATGGTGTAGGAGAACACCAAGCGCGGTGCAGTGGTGAGAAGCTTCGGCATGATGCCCTTGTAGAAGGCCATGACACCCTCCCGACGGACAGTGTCCTTCACGACGCCCCATCCTGTCACGCGGCCCTCTTCAAACTTCTTGTTCTGAATGCGTGTCTTTACAACATCCATCGGACTGGTGAACCACACGGCGACGGAGCTACCAACGGTGGAGCTCACCAAATTCTGCATGAAAGTCGCATCGCTGTAGTCCTCCAGGTGGAAGATAAAGTCTTTCGTACAGGCGGTGCCGCCAAAGAGTAGAAAAGAGCCAGGAGCATTGCGTACCATAGTTGTACCGATGCCAGCGTACATCTTCATAATACCCTCACGTCGTAGGATGCTAATGAAGGAACGGTTTTGAATGGCCCCCTTGTTTGTCTGATTCAGCACTTTCATCCGATCAATCGGTAGCAGGACAACCTCGCATAAACCGACGAGGCACCCAGCGGTGGCCTCAAGCGCCATTGATCCATATTTCATCTTACGCGCGCACCCCTTCTGTTGCTTTTCTTTCTCCTGCTTCTGCTGCTGCTGCGGAGTACCCAAGAAAACATGCCCAAAGTTGTGCTTTAAGAAATCCCGCATGTAGGGCTGGCCAGCAAACTTGATAAAGCGCTGCAGCACCTTGTACATCACCGCGTAGGAGCTGCCTGGGTACATGTGTCGCACGCGATCCAAGAAGGTGATAGGGGCACCCGGTGCCTTATCCTTCTCAATACCGGCGAACAAAACCTGCTGGAAGCGTCGCCAAGATGTCGACAAGGAGGTGGCATCGAGCACAACGTTCTGATGCGACATGAGACGCTTCGCCGTCGTATCAAACGGGTGAAAGATAATGATTTCACAGACCCCTGCAAGAGTCGCGGCACCACCGGGGCCCACAAGCAGGTCATACCAAAAGCTGCCACTCCTTGAAGAGTGCCACGCCGGTGCCCCAGGCGGGCTTGTCTGGCTCGCGGACATCCTTCGAAAAAGGAGCACAGAAATGCAAGGCCCACTGTTCTTACGCTAGCGTAGTGGAAAAAGAGACACGGATACAATAGTGCAAATACCATACATACTATTTTGTGTGGGTGTGTGTATGCTTTTCGTGTTTCCCATGAATTGGAAAAGGATTTTGTTTCATATATAGTCACTGGCCCTCCGATGCATCTCTTGCCGTCATCTTGGTACCTCCACACGAGCAGGATTAATCACAACACAACAACACATCGTGTGGGGGACGGCATCACGCAACAGTCTGTCACCACACACACACACACACACACACA